GCATCCTTACCAAAGCGCATATACGCCCTCTGCAGCCTGCGGGGGGCGGTGTCCTGCACCCACACCGGCCGGGTTGCTCCCGTGGCCACCGCCGCCCAGTAGCACGTCCGAAACATGGACACCACCGGGGTGTTCATTTCCGATCTGCTAAGATGCCCCCAGTACCTCCACACCCGACGAACCCAAATCTCTGCCCATTTTGCCCGACCCTGCAAGAGGCGGTCACACACCTCCCGGACCGCCCGTCGCTTGGCAATTTCATTACCCAACCAGCCCAATACAAAATCCGACGCGAAGGCCAGAATGCCCAGCAAATAGGTATGTTGCAAGGCTGTGAGGCGCCTAAGGAGCTTTGCACTGGGCCACAACACCGGGGCACACCACGCCCACTTAGAAGTGATGTAGGAGTCAAATAACAACATTTTGAGCTTGAGGGGGGTGTGTATGCCTTGAAGGAGTCTACGGAAAGCATAATACGTATTGGAAGTTTTGCGCAGACCATGGCCGATCATGACCTCAGTGTCCAGGATGTACGATAGGGGTACGCCAAGATACAAGAGGTGATCCTCCGCAGGCATGGGCTGGGGTTGCCCTCTGAGCCAAACCCCCGGGGCGGGCCCCTGAACCTGGCCCCAGACTGTTGACTTAGATGCATTAATGCGCAGCCCTATGGCCGCCAGACAGTCCTCGATCCCTTGCACCTTAGTCTGCAGGTCGGCGGGTGTGTCGGCGAAGACGAGGAGGTCGTCAGCATAAAGGAGCAGGTGGGCTAGTGGCCCCACCCGGGCTTCCCAGTCCGGGAACCTCTCCGTCCTCCAATGCTCGATAAGCGGACCCAGAAACCAGTCGATGACACGGGAGAACAGGTCCGCGCTGCAGGAGGTGCCCTGCAAGACGCCCCTCTCCAACTGTTGGTCCCACCGGCGGGCGCCAATGCCCATAGTAATCCTGGACTGGATGCACATTTCCCACAGCAGCACCTTCTCGGTCGTTGGCCGGCCTTGTCGGAGCCATTCCAGGATCGCCGAGTGCGAGAGCGTGTCAAAGGCCGCCCGTATGTCCAGCTTGGCCACGCAGGCTCCACAGCGGCCCCGAGATCGAAGCTGCTGAACGATCATCTGAGCTGCCGCCACTCCGTCTATGGCCTGCGATCCCGGACGACAGCCCATCTGGCCCGCCTGATATGGCGGTGACGCGTCGCGCACCCTGCGCATGAGGATCTTGCTAAAGACCTTGCCAAGGCAAGGCGTCAGGCAGATGGGGCGGAGGTCCTTAGGACCCTGCGGCTGCGACACCTTGGGCATGAGTGTGATCTTCCCATGGCTCCACGAGGAAGGCAGCGCGAGCCGCCCCTGGAGTATGTCTGTCAGGTAGCGTGCCAGCTTGCCAGCTTATGCTGGGTATCCATCAAGGCTATCTGGAGAAGACCCTCGTAGGTAACCCCGTCAAGACCTCCACTGACACCTCGCTTCATCTCCTGTATACATGCCACCAAATCTTCATGGGTGATGGGGGCGGGGGGGGGGGCCACAGAGGCGGCAGCGCGGAGCGCGTGAACTCTGACCGGATCCGGTTCCGCATCTTCCCGGGCGTATTTGTGTCGGTAGAAATCGGCGAGTTCCTCCGCTGCCTGTTGAAGCCCACCCCTAGCCGCCACATACCCTCCCTCAAAGGATGCCCCCGCCGCGCTTCGTCGCAAGAAGGAGATGGCTCGGCGGTCACCCTGGCGGGCCCTCTGGAGGAGGTCTGTCTTGTGCTGCGCTTTGTCCGCAGTCCGGGTTTCCCGGATTTGCTTCATGAGGAGGGCACGTTTTTCAGGGCACATGCACGACTTGCGCTCTGCAATTAATTCTTGAATTCGGGGGGAGTCTGAATACCGTAAATTCGGGGGGCGCGTGGCCGCCTTCTGACACAACTCTGCAACACTGTCCTGGTTGTAGGTGAATTCGGGGTCCCGGAGGCCTTGTTCTAGGATCTCCGAGCGATAGTTCCACTGCCCTGTTTTATCCTGAGGTCGCCACGTTCTGTGAAACCAATGTGCGGATACCGTGATCTGCAGAAAGATGGGGTCATGGTCACTGGGGAGAGCCTGTCGCATACCCTCATCTTTCCAAAACTGAGCCTGGCACCCGTGCGTCCTGAACAGCCACCAGTCGATTGGGGTGGAGAGCCCTCTGGCATGCCACGTCCCGCCCAATGGAGCGGAACCACGCAAGCCATGAACATGTACGAGACTGCGTATATGGGACATGCCGGGGAAGCTGTCTACCTGGCTCGCGTAATTCTGGTTAAGATCACAGCCAAGAACAATCTGTGTATGCTGAGAAAGAGCTGATAACTGCACTTGCAAACTCTGAATTCCAGTGGTCCATACCTCCACAGCGTCCGCTCGCTGTTCATGCGGAAAATGAAGGGAGGACAAACAGAAATGACCCCTGTTGCTAGCGAGTTTAACTAACAGTCCAAGGGGATGGGCGAGCATGGATGAGCGCCGTGCACACAGCTACTGCCACGCACCGGAAGCTGGCCGTGGTGTTGACTACATAGACGTTATACGTTTTAGGGCCAAGGGACCACTCCTGGACCCTCTGAGCCCCCAACTCCAAGTCTCGTATCCCTCCCAGTTCCTGAAGCATCAGCACATCAGGCGGCGTACATGTGCCTGTCATCAGATCAGCAAGGGCCTCCAGCGACTTACCATGCAAGTTCCACGACATGCAGACCAATTCCCTGGAAGCCCCGGCCCGCGTTTGCGCGCGGGCCCGTCCCCCCGGTAGTCACTCATCACGAAGGTCCAGTCGCTGCCGGAGCGTCTCTTCTGCGACCCCCAAGAGGGCTGCAAAGTCACCCAAACGCACATACCAGCCCGTGTCCTCCCCTCGACCATTCTGAAGCATGACCGCCCCGTCAAATGGAGGCCGAAGGTCGGCGTGGAACAAAATCTCCCGCCCCTTCACCCAGACCCGCCCAGACCAGTCGAAGTCTACGTCAGTTTCCGAAACAAACTCCAAGGCCAGTGCCTTCATGGAGACAATAGCACGAATCTTAGCCCTCTCCTCAGGCCCACGATTGCGCTTAGCCCACAAGCGTGCCGATCCCTGACCGGGCAAGCGGCTGCCTTGACTGATGCGCTGGCGTAATCGTCTATGTGCCGGTCAGGCAGGGACGAGCCGGCCTGCGAGAAGCGCGGGGAGCTGGCCCGCGTCGCGGCAGGACTAGGACTGACCGACCGAAGACGTCGGACCTCTGCTTCAAGCTCTCCAAGACGGCCCTCTGCCGTCCCAAGGCGCTTATCGTGGCCCCGGACCGTGTCCCCCAGCGACCCCATTTGTGCCGTGAGCGTCTGTATTTGAGCGGTCGCGCCACTCAGCTGGGCCAAGGCGGTGTCCTGTTTACCGTGCAGATGATTCAACTGATCCCTGAGCCCTCCCACCCACGTCGGTTCATCCAAAAGGAAATGCTGGGGCCCGGAGGAGGGGGGGGCGCCGGGGGGGGGGTGATCCCCACGACCCCCATGGAACAGCGGGGGAGCCCTATGGGCCGGAGCCCCCTCAGCGGCCCTAGCGTCGCCAAAGCTAGGGAGGCACTCTTGTGTACGGAGGCGTTTTTCTGGGCTGGCTTCCTGGGAATGCGTGCGTTCCTTACGAGCAGCCCCCCCCATGGAAAAGGCCGGGGCGGGCAAAGCGATGCTATTCACGGGCATGGATGTGGTGGCGGCCAGCAGTGCCGCAGCAGCCGCCGCATCCCCGGCCAGGCGCTCCGCGCAAACAGGTTCCCCACCTGCCCCCCCTGCCCTCGATCCCCCCCCGTCGCCATCCCCCCCCTCAGCCCCACCCTGATCCAGCGAGCGCGTCAGCCTGGCCGCAGCCTCCGCAGCTGCCTGCAGCTGCCTGCGCTCATGATCCGGTTGTGTCTGTAGGACCGCCAACATCCCCCCCGGACCATCGGGGTCGACTGACCTAAGCTCGTCATCCGCCGGAGGGGGACTCTGACTGTCATACTCCGGCAACATGACCGCGAGACGCACGGGACACGAGCGCGCTGTATGTCTGTGCACGCGCACGTCCGTCCCAGGTCCGCCTCGTAAGGTTTCGACTCGGGTAGGGTTTATGCAGGGATCTACAGATGGACTGGCCTCAGAGGGCCTTGAGCTTGAGCTTGAGCCAAAATGGCGTTTAGGGTTTAGGGTTTAGGGTTTAGGGTTTACGGTTTAGGGTTTAGGGGGTTTTAGGGTTTAGGGTTTAGGGGGTTTTAGGGTTTAGGGTTAGGGGTTAGGGTTTAGGGTTTTAGGGTTTAGGGTTTAGGGTTTTGGGTTTGGGTTGGGTGGCACGGGTCAAAGAAGGGCTTTGAGGGGTTTTAAGGCTTGGGCCTTAGGGTTAAGGGTTTACGGTGGAGGCTTCAGGGTACAAGAACACTCGGCCCTGCGCAGGTCCCCAACGTTGCGCGTGCACCTTGGACACAGACGGCGCGTGCACCTTGGAAGCGCGCGCGCGTGCACCTTGGAAGTGGCGCCCGCCTGGGCGGTCTATGCCCCACGCTCTTAAAGAATCCGAAACCCTAAACCCTCAACCCTAAACCCTAAACCCTAAACCCTAAACGCAAGTGAGGCTACTTGAGCTCTGAACCCCAGGTCCGATCCCGCCCCAAAGCCATACACTCTCTTAACTGCCCTAAACTTGGGATGTTCCCCCTTGCACTAGCAGTCCTGAATGGGGATTATAGTAACCCCCTAGTAGAATCCCTAGGAAGGACTGCAAGTATAAGGGGGAACATCCCAACCCTGTGCCCTAAAACCCCCCTAAAAGTATCTAAACCACCCTAAACCCCAAACCCTTTAAACCCTCTAAACCCTCTCGACCCTCTAAACCCTCTAAACCCTCTAAATTCCAGAAGCCTCGACTCGGCCAAGCCTCCATCAGAACCTTCCCTAAACCCTAAACCCTAAACCCTAAACCCCAAAACCTGAACCCTCTGAAACCCCAACAGCTCGGCCAAGCATCCATCAGAACCTTGGTCGCAACTTCGCAAGCCTCCAGCTGCGTGGAGTTGGTCTCCTCAGCTGCTGAGGCTTCGACCCTCAGGCTAAACCCTAAACCCTAAACCCTAAACCCTAAACCCTAAACCCTAAACCCTAAACCCTAAACCCTAAACCCTTTTTGCAACTGGGCTTGGGGGCTAGCCAGATCTGAGCTCTCAATCATCACGACTGAGGCCTAAACCCTAAACATCCCTAAACCCTAAACCCTAAACCCTAAACCCTAAGCCCTAAACCCTGAACCCTAAACCCTAACTAAAGGGTTTAGGAACCCTGGAACCCTAAACCCTAAACCTAAGGTTGAGGGTTCAGGGGCCAGAGGAGCCGAAACCCCTACCCTGTTTGGGGTTTAGGGTTTAGGGTTTAGGGCTACTTTGTAAGGGAACCTTGACCCACAAAAAGGGGCAAAAGGGTACCACTGGGCAGGAGAGCCCCGAAACCTTTGTGCCAAGGCACCATGACCTTGTCTGCCAGCTCGGTTGCTGGCCTGCGCTGGCCAGTGTAAAACCTGTGCCGGCTCCATTAACGGGCCCAGATCTTCCCTGATATTCACCCACTCCCTCCCCCAGACCACCCTACCTCAAGAAGCCTCTCACTGTGCGAGTTCGGGATTCGGGCGTGAGCCCTGTGAACCGTTTATAAGGAGCTCTGAGCGCCCCATCTCAGCCCTGCACTACTTCGACATCGTCCCGCCACTGGTGCATCTAAACCCTTTTGCAACTGGGCTGCATCTAAACCCTAAACCCTAAACCCGAAACCCTGCACCCTAAACCCTCAACCCTACTCCCTACACCCTGAACCCTAAACCCTACTCCCTAGACCCTGAACCCGAATTCTAAACCCGAAACCCTCCTTTGCAAAAGCGTTCATATCTTGCTCAGTCGAGCTCAGGGTCTCTAAGGGCTTCAGCACTCTAAGGCTGTGCCCAAACCCTAAACCGCCACCACCCACACCTCTAAACCTTTTTACTAGTTGCGTACGAACCCCCCCCCCCCCCCCCCAAAAAAAAAAAATCCTCGCAAGCGAAATACAGGGGTTATTGTCTTTCTTTTGGTTCCAAGGCCTTGGGGGGTTCCAAACCCTCAGCCCTGAACCCGAAAACCCTCTGACATAACCCAGTAACCCTATGAACCAACCTCTGGATCCTATATGCAAATTATGTATGTATATAAACCCTAACCCTAAACCCTAAACTCTAAACCCTAAACCCTAAACCCCGTAAGAATCCCCTACACCCTAAAGCTACGTGCCTCGAGCGGGCTAGCCGCCCCAGGACGTCTGTGGCTTCCGGCTGAGGCCCCCATCCATCCTCAAGGATCGGGCTTCTTCCCTTTTGGAGGTCTCCGAGGTTTAGGGTTTAGGGTTAGGGTTTAGGGTTTAGGGTTTAGGGTTTAGGGTTTAGGCTTTAGGGTTTAGGCTTTAGGGTTTAGGCTTTAGGGTTCAGGTTGGGTTTTGGGGTTGATGTGCCCTGTCGTAGATCCCACATAACTATGGACTTCCTGGGGCCCCTTAAGGCCCTTTGCGTCTCGGCAGATTTTGGGGTTGTACCCCTTACATACCCTCACCCTAAACCCTAAACCCTAAACCCTAAACCCTGATCCCTAAACCCTAAGCCCTGAACCCCAACCTTCAGAACCCTTTAAAAGGAGGTACGGCACCATATGAGCATGACCCCTAAACCACCCTAAGCCCTAGAAGCCCGTTTAGGGTTTAGGGTTTAGGGTTTAGGGTTTAGGGTTTAGGGTTTTCAACCGGCAGGAACCTGGGTACTTATCAGCAGGTTTTGAAGCAGACCAACTACGTTCTCTATACCTTATTTGGGGCATGTAGAGCACCACTTTGAAAGGACCCATGAAGCACTAAACCCTAACGTTAAACCCGAAACCCTAAGCCCTAAGCCCTAAGCCCTAAGCCCTAAACCCAAAACCCAAACCCAAAACCCAAAACCCTAAACCCTACTCCTAAGTTCCCATGAACCTTCACGTTCGCGCGCAGACCCACGCCTCCTCGCTCAGCGTTTCCGGCGTCCGCGTGAGGGGCGCGAGGAGCTCGAGGTCCTCATTCCTCGGCTTGGTAGGGTTTAGGGTTTAGGGTTTAGGGTTTAGGGTTTAGGGTTTAGGGTTTAGGTTTAGGGTTTAGGGTTTAGGGTTTAGGGTTTAGGGTTTAGGGTTTAGGGTTTAGGGTACTATACTCACTACTAGCGGCTGCTAGTGTAAGGGGGAAGTTCGAAGTCAAGACTCGGCGCAGGGTCAGTAGCTGCCTCGCTTTGCGGTCCAAAAAACCTCCAAGTACCAGACACCCCTGAACCCTAAACCCCTAAACCTACTTTTGCTTCTTTGCGCTACCAAAACCCTTTTGTTCCCCCAAACCCAAACCCAAACCCAAACCCAAAACCTGAAACCTGAAACCCTAAACCCCAACACCAACTCCTTTTGTCGATCCGGCGTTTGCGCTTAGCAAGGGCCGCCGAACACTCAACCCTGTTTTTTTTTACCCTAAACTACCCTAAACCCTAAACCCTAAACCCTAAACCCTAAACCCTAAACCCTAAACCCTAAACCCTGTCGGGTGCTTTGCCGGGAACTTGGTCCCGCGTCTTCCCTCTTGCCACTCATGGCTACTTCAAGGTTCGGGGGGTGCTCATGAGTAGGGTTTCTTTTGGCGCCCGCATGCGTAGGGTTGAGGGTTTAGGGTTTAGGGTTTCGGGTTTTGGGTCTCGGGTTTCGGGTCTCGGGTTTGGGGTTTAGGGGTTTGGGTTCCTCTAAGCCCTAAACACTTATGGCACCACGCCAAGCTTGCCAGGCGTCCGGGGGCGCTTGGGCCCAATAACTCCCAGGGTCAGGGCTTCTAAGGGTTTGGGGTTGAGATGTCCCCCCCTTATACTAACTGTCCTTGATAGTAGGTGGTGCTATCATTGGTATTGAGGACTGCTAGAAAAGGGGGGAACATCACAAGCTTGGCGTTTTGGGTTTTGGGTTTTGGGTTTTAGGTTCAAACATCTGCAAGAGACACCCACGGGCCTCTCCAGTTAGAATTTGAGGCGGTGTTCTGGGTATGGTGCGTAGAAAGAATACCGGGTGTTTGCAGAGGGGGTATCGTAGTGGTCATCATTTTCTAGACCCCAGGCCCAGAGTAACCTCGGAATAAGAAGGGTGCCCTTTTTGGAGGGCACACGCGAAGAATTTTTTTAAGGCCGGGGGGGGGGGGGGGGGGGGGGGGGGGGTTTATCATTTTAACCCCCCTTCATGACTACCGCGGGGTTCTCCGGGGGGGGGGGGGGGGGGCGCGATTATTATTTTTTTTTTTTTAGGGGGGGGGGGGGGGGGGGGTCGCGATTATTATTATTACTACCATTACTACTACGATCACTACTACTACTACTACTACTACTACTACTACTACTACTACTACTACTACTACTACTACTACTACTACTACTACTACTACTATACTACTACTACTACTACTACTACTACTACTACTACTACTACTACTACTACTACTACTACTACTACTACTACTACTACTACTACTACTACTACTACTACTATTATTACTATTACTACCACTACTACTACTACTGCTACTACCACTACTACCTCTACCACAAGAATTCTTTGAAGCCGGTTATCATTTGAACCTCCTCATGACTCCTGCGGGGTTCTCGGGGGGGGGGGGGGGGGGGGCGCGATTATTATTATTTTTATTTTTTTTTTTTTTGGGGGGGGGTCGCGATTATTATTATTATTAGTACCACCATTACTGCTACTACTACTACTACTACTACTACTACTACTACCACTACTACTACTAGTACTAGTACTAGTACTACTACCACTACCACAAGAATTTTTTTAAGGCCGGTTATCATTTGAACCTTTCATGACTCCTGCGGGGTTCTCGGGGGGGGGGATTATTTGAGGGGGGGGGGGGGTCCAATAATAATCATTAAATGGTTTCCCATTCCATATTATATTTGGGGGGGGGGGGGGGGGTCCAAATAATAATAATTTAAATGGGTTTCCCAATCCATTATATTATTTGGGGGGGGGGGATTTGGGGGCGGGGGGGTCTAAAATAATAATCCAAACCAAATAATAATAATAAATCGTTTCCCATTCCATATTATTATTTGGGGGAGGGGGGGGGGGGGTTCTTATTTGGGGGGGGGGGGGGGGGGGGGTGGGTGGGCCAAATAATAATAGTTAAATGTTTCCCATTCCATTGTTATTATTATTCGGGAGGGGATTTGGGGGGGGGGGGGGGGGGTCCATTATCATTATTTGGGGGGGGGGGGGGTAAATAATATTTAAAATGGGGGGGGGGGGGGGGGGGGTCCAAATAATAATAATTAAATGGTTTCCCATTTCGTTTTTATTATTTGAGGGGGGGGGGGGGGGGGGATTTGCGCGGGGGGGGGGTCCATTATTATTATTTGAGGGGGGGGGGGGGGGGGGTCCAAATAATAATCATTAAAGGTTTCCCATTCCATTATTATTATTTGGGGGGGGGGGGGGCAGGGGGGGGAGGGGGGGGGAGGGGGGGGGGGGGGGGGGGTCCAAATAATAATAATTAAATGTTTCCCAATCCATTATTATTATTTGGGGGGTGGGGGGGGGGGATTTGGGGGCGGGGGGGGTCTAAAATAATTAATAATTAAATTGTTTTCCCATTCCATTATTATTACTTGGGGGGGGGTCTTATTGAATGGGGGGGGGTGGCGGGGGGGGGGGGGGGGGGTTTCCAAATAATAATAATAATTAAATGGTTTCCCATTCCATTATTATTATCGGGGGGGGGGGGGGGATTTGGGGGGGGGGGGGGGGGGGTCCATTTTAATTATTTTGAGGGGGGGGGGGGGGGGGTCCAATAATAATCATTAAATGGTTTTCCATTCCATTATTATATATTGGGGGGGGGGGGGGGGGGGTCCAAATATAATAATTAAATGGTTTCCCAATCCATTATTATTATTTGGGGGGGGATTTGGGGGCGGGGGGGTCTAAATAATAATAATTAATGGTTTCCCCATTCCATTATTATTATTGGGGGGGGGTCCAAACCAAATACTAATTAAATGGTTTCCATTCCATTATTATTATTGGGGGGGGGGGGGGGTTCTCATTTGGGGGGGGGGGGGGGGGGGGGGGGGGTCCAAATAATAATAATTAAATGGTTTCCCAATCCATTTTATTATTTGGGGGGGATTTGGGGGCGGGGAGGTCTAAAATAATAACAAATAATAATAATTAAATTGTTTCCCAATCCATTATTATTATTTGGGGGGGGGATTTGGGGGCGGGGAGGTCTAAAAATAATAATTAAATTGTTTCCCATTCCATTATTATTATTATTATTATTATTTTATTATTGGGGGGGGGTCTATTGAGGGGGGGGGGGGGGGGGGAGGGGGGGGGTCCAAATAATAATCATAAAGGTTTCCCAATCCATTTTTGTTATTTGGGGGGGGGGGGGGGGGGGATTGGGGGGCACGGGGGTCTAAAATAATAATAATTAAATGGTTTCCCATTCCATTATTATATTTGGAGGCGGGGGGGGAGGGGGAGGGGGGGGGGCGATCCATTATTTTTTTTGTTTGAGGGGGGGGGGGGGGGGGTCCAAACCAAATAATAATAATTAAATGGTTTTCCCATTCCATTATTATTATTTGGGGGGGGGGGGGGGGGGGGGGGGGGGGGGGGGGTTCTTATTTGGGGGGGGTGGGGGGGGGGGGGGTTTAAATGTTTCCCATTCCATTATTATTATTTGGGGGGGGGGGGGGGTTCTTATTTGGGGGGGGGGGGGGGGGGGGGTCCAAATAACAATAATTAAATTGTTTCCCAATCCATTATTATCATTTGGGGGGGATTTGGGGGCGGGGAGGTCTAAAACAATAACAAAATATAATAATTAAATGTTTCCCAATCCATTATTATTATTTGGGGGGGGATTTGGGGGGGGGGCGGGGAGGTCTAAAATAATAATATTAAATGGTTTCCCATTCATTATATTGTTATTTGGGGGGGGTTTATTTGAGGGGGGGGGGGGGGGGAGGGGGGGTCCAAATAATAATAATAATTTAAATGGTTTCCCAATCCATTATTATTATTTGGGGGGGGGGGATGGGGGGGCACGGGGTCTAAAATAATAATGTAATTAAATGGTTTCCCATCCATTATATTATTGGAGGCGGGGGGAGGGGGGGGGGGGGGGGGGGGGGGGGGCGATCCATTATTTTTTTTGTCTTGAGGGGGGGGGGGGGGGGGGTCCAAGCCAAATAATAATAATTAAATGGTTTTCCCATTCCATTATTATTATTTGGGGGGGGGTTCTTATTTGGGGGGGGGGGGGGGGGGGTCCAAATAATAATAATTAAATGGTTTTCCCATTCCATTATTATTATTATTGGGGGGGGGGGATTTGGGGGGGGGGGGGGGGGTCCATATTATATTGAGGGGGGGGGGGGGGGGGGGGGGGGGGGGTCCAAATAATAATAATTAAATGGTTCCCCATTTCATTTTATTATTTGAGGGGGGGGATTTGGGGGGGGGGGGGGGGGGTCATTATTATTATTTGAGGGGGGGGGGGGGGGTCAAAAATAATTCATTAAATGGTTTCCATTCCATTATTTTATTTGGGGGGGGGGGGGGGGAGGGGGGGGGGGGGGGGGGGGGGGCAAATAGTAATAATTAAATGGTTTCCCCAATCCATTATTATTATTTGGGGGGGGGGGGGGGGGGTCCAAATAATAATAATTAAATGGTTTCCCAATCCATTATTATTATTTGGGAGGGGGGAGGGGGTCCAAATAATAATAATAATAATAATTAAATGGTTTCCCATTCCATTATTATTGTTTGGGGGGGGGGGGGTCCAAATAATAATAATTAAATAGTTTCCCTTTCCATTATTATTATTTGGGTGGGGGGGGGTCCAAATAATAGTAATTAAATGGTTGCCCTTTCCATTATTATTATTTGGGGGGGGGGGGGGGGAAATAATAATAATGAAATGGTTTCCCTTTCCATTATTATTATTTGAAATAATGCCAGGGGGTCTCCATTATTCCTTCGCGTGCCCCCTGCCTTTTTGCGTTGAAAGATGCGTTTAAGGGAACCTAAACCCTAAACAACAGGGACTAAGGGCCTACTCTGGGTCCTAGTTGTAGTAAAAGCCCAAACCCTAAACCCAAAACCCCAAAAAAAAGGGAATAAGGGCCTACTCCAGGGAATAAGGGCCTACTCTGGGTCCTAGTTGTAGTAAAAGCCCAAACCCTAAACCCTAAACCCCCCCAAAAAAGGGGAATAAGGGCCTACTCAAAGGGCCTACTCTAGGTCCTAGTCTGAGGCTCCTGCACTGAGTGGAGGATTTGTCTTTCTTTGACCCAGCCCTGGCTTCAACTTCGACTCTGTACCGCTGGGTGGCCCTGGCTGCGGGCTTCACTACTAGTTGCTTAAGAACCCCCAGGAAGTAAAACAGGAAGGAAAAGATAATAATGCACGTAGAACCTTATAAGGAAGAATGTGTTCCTTTGTGTTTTTGTGTGTTTTTGTGGTGGGGGGGCTCTTAAGCAATTTGTAGTTAAGGGTTTGGTGACTCAGCTGTCAGCAAGCGTACAGCCTCGACTTGGCCCTGGGAAGATGCGAGCTTGAGAGCCGTGTGGCCAAACTTGTCCCGCAAACTTGCGTCGGCACCAACGCTCAGCAGCAAACGTACAATCTGGACGTGGCCCGCGGCAGATGCGAGCATGAGAACGGTCCTCTCGGACATGTCCTGTAAGTTTGCGTCGGCACCAGCGTCGAGCAGCAATTGCAACAGCTCGGCGTGGCCCTGGGAAGATGCGTACATGAGAGCAGTTGCGCCAGTCCAGTTCTGCAAGTTTACGTCGGCACCAGCATCCAGCAGCAAACGTACAGTCTCGACGTGGCCCTGGGAAGATGCCAGCATCAGGGAGGTCGTGCCGGCCCTGTCCCGCCAGTTTGCGTCGACGCCTGCGCCCAGCAGTAAACGTACAACCTCGACGTGGCCCTTCCTAGCTCATGGTTGTGAGAATATTAAGAGCTTATAGTGGTTTATTCCTTATTGGGTTTAAGTACCCTTAGAGATGCAAAATGTTACCCAACTATGAGAAAGCTTCGATGATGCCTGCATGAGACTGGTCACCGACCGCTGGCCCCGCAACTGACTCTTGATAACGCCCACTTCCAGCAAGGCGCGGCCCACTTCCACATGGCCTGTATCGGCAACATACTCAAGAAACCTTCGTTGCCGAGTTCATAAGCCAACAAAAAAGTGTACACTTTCAGTTCTGTCTAGTATCCCAAAAAGTGTAAAGTGTACTCCCTCGGCTACTAAGAAACTCACGGTCAGCCTCAGGCATCTGCTCCGAGCTGAGGGCAGAGAGCAGCACCAGCTGCAGGTCAAGGGGCCCAACCAGCGGAGCATCATCCTCTAAGCAGCGGCCAGCCTAGACTCGGATCCCCTTAGGACCCTGATAAAGATACTATGTCTAATATCCTCATGGGTTTTTATATAAACAAAAATATTGAAAAAAAACAATTCCCAAGGGGGATATAGCAGCATGTAGAAGCTGCTGAAGGCAGACTGGAAAGCCATGCTGGCCTCGCAAGTGGCGCTTCAGCTGGATCACGTCGTTGATCGTGTCGCCCGTGGGCGCTGCGAAAAGCTCTTGCCCGGACACGCTCCAGACGCACAGCATGGCGTGGGCTCGAATATTAAGCTAGACGTGCCTATCCCAGAGGGTCCATTTGTAGTACCATTATGGAATTAGGTACCCAAAAACCAAATTTAGTATGGTTTTTGGGTATCTAATGCCATAATGGTAATACAAATGGACCCTCGAGGTATGTGTAGTCAGGGACCTCACAGCGGAAGCTATGTAAACTATCAATGTGCACTTGATTCATGCAGGGGTCTATAGTGCCCTAAACTTTGCAGCCTGAACCCCCTCATCAGGCTTGGGATCCGGGTCTTGTTTCTGGGGCACATATGGCCTTTACTGAGGGTTCAAGGTGGTATTGTGGGGATTCCCGATGATATAAGACCTAAACCCTAAACCCTAAACCCTAAACCCTAAACCCTGAATAAGACCTGAAAAGCGTGTCCACTGAGCTTAGGTCCTAGGTTGAGGGGTTTCGGATAACTATACCTATAGGACCCAGAGTAGGCCCTGATTCCCGGTTTTTTAGGGTTTAGGTTCCCTTACCAACCCGTTTACACCAAAAAGGGCCCCCTTTTTCTTCCTAGGTAACTCTTGTGCCTAAAAACCCCTCCCAGTTCCTCAGCTTGAAGCGAACAGCGCTCAATTGCGGGGGGGTGGCGGGGTGCTTGCCCTGAGTTGCAACACCCAGTCTTCCGAGGCCCAGTATGCAGATTTCAGTTTCCGGAACCCCTAAACCCCAAAACCCCAAATCCTAAACCGTAAACCCCAAAAACCCCCCAAAACCCCAAAATCTTCAACCCAAAAGGGGCAAAAGATGTCACAACGGCCTACCTGGAAGAATGTCAACTTGGTGGTTCATGGGTACTTCTAAGTAGGGCGGTAAGTACCCCCCGAAGAAAGAAAGGTCATACCCATAGTTCCCCCACTGTCAACCCTACCTATAAGCTCCCCTGAACCCTAGACCCTAGGCCCTAGACCCTAGACCCTAAACCCTAAAGGCCTAAAGCCTAAACCCTAAACCCTACCCATGAACCTTCAAGTAGGTTCGCGTCTCAGAGATCCGAGCCCCTCAGGGCAGCCAGGAGTGGCAAGCGCCCAGTTGTACTGTGTGGTGCGGCTCCCGAGGGTTTAGGGTTTAGGGCTAGGGTTTAGGGTTGAGGGTTTAAGATTTCGATCTTGCCCCCGAAACAACAGTGATCGCAAGTGCGATTCGAACCACGGCAAGAAAGACAACTACAGACCACAACCACTTGCTGACACAACATAGGTGGTCCCTTGTGCACCGCAATCAAAGAAAGCTAAACCCTAAACCCTAAACCCTAAACCCGAAACCCTAAACCCTAAAAACCAATTCCATGCATGCCGCCGTGGCTCGCAGCCTCCCAGTCGCCGCTCCGTTCTGCCGCGGACGCACGTAGTGACAGGGCCTGCGCGCACACCTTAACCCTAAACCCTAAACCCTAAACCCTGAACCCTGTCACCCCGGAACGAGGTGTTAAGCTTTAGGGCTATGGCTTCGGTGATGAATCCTTTACATCCAGTTAGTATTGCGAGGGGGCCTCTTTATCTGTTACCCTTATACCTTAGTATAGCACCTCGATACCCTGTTTATATACATATATGCCTCAATTTGAACAGAAACCCTGCTTCAAGAGGCCGCCAACACTTATAATGCAGTTAGTATTGCAAGCTGGCCCTCCCTGTTGTCGATCCGAAGTACGGGCCCTTAATTTGGGTCCCGTGTTATATATAACCCTTATATACACTATATAGCAATAATAAGAATAATAATAATAATCATCATAATAATAATCATAATAATAATAATAAAAGGGGCCATACTTCGGAACCCTATTAACAAGGGTAAGGGACCATACTAAGGGCGCATGGTTCCGACCTCCGATGTATGGGAAGCCTTTTGACATACTGCCAAAGCCTTGAACCTGGCACATCGCAGGTCCGTTTGAGGAGCCTTAGCCTCAGCTCTTGAGTGTGTTTAGGGTTTAGGGTTTAGGGTTTAGGGTTGAGGGTTGAGGGTTGAGGGTGATGTAGGACATGCCAGGACGGCAATTTTATCCGTAGATGCATGGAGGGCCTCTTACAGCTCTAGTAGCCAATGCAGGCACGGGCTTTGGGAAAACGCCGGCTTCTGTGAAGATTGAAAAGTTGAGGATGAGGGTGGGTATTTCCCAAAATAAGGGTACCCGTTTATGCCCCAAACAGAAATAGCATCCCCTAAAAGGAACTTAAAGGGACCCCCCAAAAAGGGGGGGGGGACCCCTATTTCGGAAACCACAGACGTAGGGCAGATTCGGCCTACCTGCAGTATAACCTGCCCTCCTAGATCAGTGGTACGGTCCTCTTTTATGAGGACACAAACATATGTACACATCATTGATACCTTCCTGTGGCCTACAGTGCCCACACCTGCAACCTGCAAGCTTGAACAAGGAAGTGCTGTGAAGGCATTCGCGCGAAGCCCGTCAAAAGCAACGTCGAGCAGACTGCTACCTCCGACAGTAAGGGGTATAGGCGTTGGGGTATAGAGCCCTATTTCTCTATAGAACCTACGTTGGGGAGCTGCTGAATCCCAAAGTGGGGTTCTTCTAACCCCTGGACAAGACCCTATTCAGGGATTCGGTGGTCCTTACGGTAAACCTTCGTTTTGCCCGAAAGCCTAAACTTGGATTCCACCGCCAGCCTGTACTCGTCCGGGACATCGCACTCCCAGAACGGAGGGGTGTGCCTACCGTCACAAAGCGGGGGAGGGGGCTGTAGGGTTTAGGGCTTATTGCAAAAAACACCTCCGGCTACTGCTTGCAAGGCCTTTATTTCGAAACCATTCTCCGATTCTAGGGCAACCTACAGCATAACAAGGATCTAGCTGTGGGTTTTTAGGGGTCTTGATTTGCTTCTAGTGCAAATGCGGCTTTAGGGCTCAGGGAATCGTGAGTCATAGACCATTGCAACTTTGACATTCATGCATTGTGGTAGCCGCAGTCAGTTCCCCCCATCTCCCAACATCTGCCTGCGCAATGCATTTGCACCACCTGACAGAACCTGGAGCCCCCCTGTCTCCAACACCTCCACTTGGAAAACCCCAAGATCTGGAAAGTCATGGCGTCATTTCTGCCGTCCAAGTCTGTGCCAAATGATTGCTGGAATCGGCCACTTTCTCCCGAATCTGGGGTACCCTCGCAGACACCTAAATCAATTCTTTATGAAAGAAGCCCCTACAACCCTTGACGGAGGAAGATTTTGGAAGTACGCACGTAGCTAGTGCCGAGTCAAGAAATAAAAACGGCTATATACTTCAAAAAAGATAATCTGGGAGGGTGGAGTGATACCAAACACATAGTGATGCAAAGTGGCCGTGCGAATGGCCGGGCCAGGCCAATCGAAAAACCTGAACCTGAACCCTAAACCCTAGACCCTCGACCCTAAACCCTAAACCCTAAATCCTAAACCCTAAACCCTAACCCTAAACCCTACAGGGGTTTAGGGCCTTGGGCTCGCCCAAGACAGGCTAGGCCCCTCCGAGGAAGGACGGAAGGTCATCCAGGGCGCCCTTTCTTGCTTCACAGCGGTTTAGGGTTTAGGGTTTAGGGTTTAGGGTTTAGGGTTTAGGGTTTAGGGTTTAGGGTTTAGGGTTTAGGGTGTAGGGTGTAGGGTTTAGGGTTTAGGGTTTAGGGCTTAGGGTTTCGGATGCCCCCCCCCCCCCCCCCCCCCCCAAAAAAACTAAAACTAAAACTAAACCCTAACCCTCACCAACAAAGAACAGCAGGGCCCGGTCGTGTCCTAGTCCTAACAGGGCGTCGGGTAGCCTTGCAGAACAGGGTCTGCACCGTGGTGTACTCGTGCTTGTGCAACTCCTGAGCTGGCTGTGGTTGAACCCTAAACCCTAAACCCTAAACCCCAAACCCTAAACCCTAACCCTAAACCCTGTGCAGAGTTTAGGGCTTACTCTTGGGAGGCAAGTTATGTAACTCCCTTCAAGGGTCCATAGGAGGGGCACAAGGTACCTAAGTCCGAAGTTGCCTTGCTCAGAAGGGCTCAGGGTTTAGGGTTTAGGGTTTAGGGTTCGGGGTTTAGGGTTTAGGGTTAGGGTTTAGGGTTCGGGGTTTAGGGTTTAGGGGGTAGTAGCTGTAGGGTTAAGGACCTCCTGAATTTGGGGGGACTTCATAGGGCTGAGGATGGATAAGTCCCAGCCAGGCAAGGGCAACCCCCAGACCCTGGAGGCCTAAACCCCCTACCCTCAACCTGAAAACCTGGAAAACCCTAGTGTTAACCATGGACCGACGGAAATGCCGACTAGGGTTTAGGGGCTTAGGGGCCCAAAGCCCTCAAACCCTACTTAGTAGGGTTTAGGGTTTAGGGTTCTTCCTAAACCCAGCCGACTACTCTTCTTCGCTGGGCAGCCATTCTTGCCAAGCACAGGACGGCTTGTGGGAAATGGGGCACAGCGCGAAGCGCCTGCACGGTTTCGGCATGCGAGACTTCCACCACTTCACCACTTCGAGAGGCATTTACCTGGGACCCTCTTTACCTACAGGTTTAAGGGTTCGGGGTACTTACTACTAATCTGTAGGCCATTAGCGTTGCAGGAACCACTGTATAAGAAACCATTGTATAAGAAACTAAGACCCTAGATCCAGGGAGTTTGGGCGATTTGCGGTTGCCTTTTAGCTAAGAAACCTAGGGTACCCTAGTGTTGGGGGTGCTACTTTCTAAAAATCGCGTCTACAAAGCTCTCCAAAAAACAACTTTGCGGGAAATATTGGGGCCCAGTCCAATGCTGCAAGTCGTGACTCCCCCGCGCCTCTGGCCGGGAGTCACATTCTAGAGCTCCAAAACGCTGGCCCTACCCCAAAAATGCGCGGGAGTCACATTCTAGAGGTTTTCAGCTCTGAAAAGCTCTAAAACGTGACTCCCCCCGCGCCTCTGGCCTGACCCTACCCCAGAAACGCGCGGAAGTCACATTCTAGAGGTTTTCAGCCCTGAAAAGCTCTATATATAAAACGTGACTCCCCCACGCCTCTGGCCTGACCCTACCCCAAAAACGCGCGGGAGTCACATTCTAGAGGTTTTCAGCCCTGAAAAGCTCTATACATAAAACGTGACTCTTCCGCGCCTCTGGCCTGACCCTACCCCAAAAATGCGGATCCCGCGGAGCAGCTTCTGAAGGGAAGACCCCCCCCCACGGTACCTGGAACATGGGTTTGGTCTAGTGGTAGAGCGTACTCCCTTAAGAAACGAATTAAGAAACCAAGACTACCCTAGTTCAAATCCTCCTGGTTACATAGGTGAATGGAAATTTAGAAACTTAGGGTACCCTAGTGCCGGCAAACCGTTTTCTTATACAACGTTCTTACTGTAGTACTGGGCGTAGAGTATAAACCTCAAGGGGCCATAAGGGAATACCACTAGCAATTTATTCCGACCCGTATTCAGGTCTTAGGGGTTTGGGATGTAGAGTTTAGAGTTTAGGGCTCAGGGCATAGAGTTGAGGTTTCAGAGCGTAGTCTGTGTGGAGCTTCTTTGGCATTGAGGCGCTGGACATTCGCAAAATTCTTTCTGGGGCCTCTCCCTGTTCCCAGCAACTACCCCTAAAACCCAGCAACTACCCTCTCCACAGCCAAGTCCGGGCTTCATGAAGAAGGAAGCGTTATTCTGTACTACGGAAACACCATGGCGGCAACTTCATTTAGGTTCCACAACAGGAGCCCCCTTCGACCCAAACCCAGATCTTGTTGACGAACCCTTCGATCTAGATCTCCTACTGTCTCCAGTAAGGCAAAAAAACATGGATACTGGGTACACTGTTGGATTTAGGGTATAGGGTTAAGGGTTTTAAGGGTTAGGGTACCCTGCTTTGCTTGATGGGCAAGATTGGTACCCTCATGCTCGTTGAAACGGATTTAATCATAGGAGGGTGCCGGGATAAGGTCCTCTCGGGTTTAGGCCTGGGTTTCCTGAAGATCTCAATAGGCCTCCGTCGGGGATGCCAAGTGTAATGCAAACAGTACCTACTTCGGCCAAACCCTAGAAACTCTAGAGACCCTGAACCTTGAACCCTATGGACCCTAAACCTTAAACCCTCACATGCCTAAAGAACCTGCTGGTTCACATAAACCTAACACCCTAAGCGCCTAAACCCTAAACCCGAAACCCTGAACCCTGAACCCTAAACCCTAAACCCTCCTAAAGAACCTGCTTGTTCACATCGGCCTCATGGCAGAAGTTGCGGGCATTCGGGTAGAGCTCCTCCTTCTCGGCCTGCAAAATGACCCTAGACCCTAAACCTAAACCCTAAACCCTAAAACAGCTCGCAACTGTGGCCCTCCTAGTGTATCATGATATATACTAGCTGATAACTTCTTTCTGATGAAAGTATACTGTATGATTTATCATGTTAGCATACTATGTGATGATTATTTTGGCGATATGACTATACTGTATGATTATGTGCATCATTCTTGTATGAACACATCTGTTGCCCCGGCCGCACTTGGAGGTTCGTGGGGACTTATAAGCAGGGTTACAGGTGGGCACTGGGGTAACTATGGTTCTAACCTCATTTTGGGTACTTACAACCCTACTTATATGTACGCATGAACCTCGAAGTAGCCGGGGTTTAGGGTTGGCTTGCATTGCATGTTGGACTGATATATTCTTGAGAACCTAGGGAACCTATTATGTCCCTAAACCCTAAACCCTAAACCCTAAACCCTACACCCCATACCCTAAACCCTAAACCCTAAACCCCTAAACCCTAAAACCCTAAACCCTAAACCCTAAACCCTCCCACTTGGACGTAGGAAACCACGCCTGCAAAGCCTTCCGAACTGCGGCTAAGGCAGCACCTGGGACCGACAGCTGCTTGTCTTCTCATTGGGTACTTACTTAGGGTTTAGGGTTTAGGGTTTAGGGTTTAGGGTTTAGGGTTTAGGGTTGAGGGTTTAGGGTTTAGGGTTTAGGCTTTAGGGTTTAGGGTTCTTAGTAGGTAGTGAGGGAATTAGGGGCCCTATACACTCCCTTCAATGGTATATAGGGCTTTATTTTCCCTCATTCCCTACTAAGAACCAGGGGGTCCAGCCCGATTAAGACGGCTTTGGACTTGGGGTCACTGTAGATATAACCCAATTGTCAAACAGGCTGGGGTTTTTAAGTTATGAAAAAACCTGTAGTGTTTAATCACTAACCCAATTACGACCAGATTTAGGGGGCTTATAATTGGGTAGCCCTAAACCCGTAATTGGGCAACCCTGCAGTAACCCTAAACCCTGTTCCCTGGGTAATGGCAGTTCTACTTCCTTGTTACTTGGAAGGCGCCCTTAAACCTGAACCACTGCTTGCTTCAGAACCGCCCCCCCCCCCCCCCCCCCCCCTGCACAAAAAAAACAAGTTAACAGTATTCTTCCATATAAGGGCAATATAGGGACTGTGGTATATTTGTGCGAGTCTGAGAGCCCAAATCCTAAACCTCAGAGTCGGGGTTTTAGGGTTTAGGGTTTTTGGGTTTTCGGGTTTTAGGGTTTAGGGTTTTAGGGTTTAGGGTTTAGGGTTTAGGGTTTCGGGTTTAGGGTTTAGGGTTTTAGGGTTTTCGGGTTTGGGGCTTAGGGTTTACTGTTTCTCAGGCTTAGGGTATAGGACATTTGGATGCTTCAGCTTCGTGCGCCATCTTTCTCAAGTTTCCAAAAACAGGTCCGGCGTGCCACAACACAACGTTGCTTCGTATCCCCAGAACCAACTCGAGGGTTGCGGGTTTAGGGTTTAGGGTTTTAGGGTTTTAGGGTTTTAGGGTTTAGGGTTTAGGGTTTGGGGTTTAGGGTTTCTTCCGCGCCAGTAGCTCAGGAAGCGGTAGCGGGTGGCCATGATTCTACACTTCTCTGAATTGTAGGGTTGCAGGGTTTAGGCTTCTGGCTCGGGGATCGCTTATACTGCTTCGTGCCATAAACCATAAACCCTAAACCCTATGACAACAGTTCGTGTAGACCATTTCCATTTTCAAGCCATGCACCACCCCCTTGCACCCAAACCCACAACAACCTAAGAAATAGCATACGCAACCCCATAGTATGGGTTTAGGGCTTAGGGGCCCCAACCGACAGAAAAACCATAACGCCCAATCCGAAGTCCATTGCTGCCCAAGGCTCTCTCGGCCTGCCAAACTGCAAGACAGCTGGGAAAGTCTGCAAGTCCAAGGCATCCCGCCCAACCCACAGGAGTTCTCTACCCTAAACCTACTTTGGGCCCAAGCATTCCCTAAACCCTAAACCCTGAACCCGAAACCCTTAGACAAGATCGTGGCTGGAAGTCAGTGGGCCCATTATGCGGACGATTGCTCACCAGAAGCATTTCGGCTCCCGGGTTCTTAGTAGGGATTGAGGGAATTAGGGCCCTATATCTGATCCCTTAAAGGTTATATATATATATATATATGTATTTCTAGGTTCATCCCTTAAAGGGTATCTATATATAGGGCCCTATATAATCCCTTTGAAGGGTATATGTAGGGCCCAAGATCTACCCTTTAAGGGTGTATGTAGGGTCTGAATTCCCTCATTCTCTACTAAGAACCAGCCTCAGGAGGGACGAAGGTTAACAAAGAGCAATTCAGTCTAAGACTTCAGACAGCCGCCAGCATTGCAGTAGACTCGGGTTTATAGACTAGAGTTTAGGGTTTAGGGTTTAGGGTTTAGGGTTTAGGGTTTAGGGTTTGGGGTTTGGGGTTTGGGGTTTGGGGTTTAGGGTTTAGGGACTCTTGCACCTTTCGCCTACCTCGAGTGCTGGTCCAAAATTAAGCGAGCAAGCCTGCTCTGGGTCCCCAGTAGGATGGGGGCTGGCTAACTGCTACTTCTTTCTCCCTCTCCAACCCCAACCCTCCCCACCCTTCCCCAAGACCACAAAACCCCAAACTCGCCTAACCCCCAAACCCCAAGAACTCTGACACTACAAATTCTCAGCCTCGAACTCTCGGAATGCCAAACCCTAAGCCCCAAACCCGAAAGCCTCAAACCCGGGTTTAGGGTTTAGGGTTTAGGGTTTAGGGACTAGGGTTTAGGGTTTAAGGGTTTAGGGTTTCGGGCCTGTGCTGAAGGAGGTGACGCACTGCTGGCTGCAGGGTCCTTCTGGGGTTTAAGGGCTTCTGACTGGGATGCTCCCCCCGTATACTTACAGTCCTTGATAGGGTTTAGGGTTTAGGGTTTAGGGTTAGGGTCCTTTATACTTACAGTCCTTGATAGGGATTATCGTACCCCCTACTTGGAGGTTCATGGGTGCTTATAAGAAGGGTTATAAGTAGGGCGACTATGGTTATGGCCATACTTAGGGTACTGCTAACCCTACTTGTAAGTTCTAAATATTCTAATCCCTATTCAGGACTGTCGGAAAAGGGGGAGCATCCCAAAGTTTGTGACTATACCTCCCCCCCCCCCCCCCCCCCCCCCCCCCGGCCCCCCTCCTGAATCCTCCAGCCCGCTGAACCCCAAACCCCAAAAACCACTAAAGGGCCTATAAGACCCGTATAGGCCCTTATAAACCCTTACAGCCCCACTAGAGCCCCAAGACCCAAAAAAGAAAGCCTGAACCCTAAACCCTAAGTGGGGATGTTCCCCCTATAATAACCAGTCCTTCATAGGGATCATAAAAGTGGAACTACAATTCCGATTCAGGACTCTTAGTATACATGGGAACTTCCCTTCCCTAAACCCTAAACCCTAACCCTAAACCCTACACCCTGAACCCTGAACCCTGAACCCTAAACCCTAAACCCCAAACCCTAAACCCTAAACCCTACACTCAAGCCCTCATAGGCCCAACAGACAAAGCCCCCTTCCTGCTTCTGCTCCCTCTTGCGGTCGACCTCCGGAACCTTTGCTGTGGACGGCAAGCCCCAAACCCTAGGCCGGGTTCAGGGTTTAGGGTTTAGGGTTTAGGGTTTACTGTCAGTGCACCACGACTGGAAGCTTTCCAGACAACCTAGAACAAGCACAGCACCCTCCGTTCTTTTTGACATTTCTGAAGAAACTATAGTTTGGGAAATCCACCAGTTGTTATCCGTTAAGCCATGAGCAGGGGCGCGCCTAACCTTTTTACTCAGAGAGCTTGAGCGACACAAGTAAGTGCAACATACATGGAGGCAAAAGTGGAGGGAATGCACAGATATAAAATACACCCCCCTCGTTGAAGCGTGAGAATGCTGAAACGCAGTCAACGAATCCACGGCAAGCACTACGTGCTGCATTTTGCTCTTCTACTGTATGTTCAAAGTGCGCTCACCCGAGTTTTAAATTCAGGTTCAACGCCACAGATCACCGCGCACCAGCTTAAGAAATTTGAAACGCTGGCGGGGATACAAAGGTGGCTCGTGCAATACAGTGGTTCACTCAGCATCGACCTCAAAAGGAAAGGAAAACAGAGCGCCGTGGTCAAGATGCTAAGCTACTTTATCAGAAAAAGCGGAACTCAGGACTCACCAGCTGCGATCTCGATGGTCGTAGCGCCAAGGTCCACGGGAGTGCACCGTATTGCGACTCCCCGAGCTCCACCAGGATCCTTGATCCTGCCACTGGCGGTCACGCCAGGAACTTGAGGAATGCCAGTCGTCCTGCGACCAAGAGTTGTCGCTCCACGACCAGCCACGATTCGTGTTACGATCGGCCTCCCCATAACGGGGGGCATTTTGCGATGCCTTTCTTGCATCCGCCCGCGCCTGAGCGGCCCGGGACGCTTCTGCCGATTCCTTCATCTTTCGGCACGTCTCCTTTGCCCCACCATAATTCTCAGAGAGGATCTCGGCCAAAAAGACTGCCAGATGCTCTTCCTCATCGAAGTCCGGGATGCCAATGATGCCCTCCGTGAAGGTGAGGATGTGGGAAACCGCACGGGTGACGCGGATGATCCGGGCGAACTCCTTCACGCCCATGAAGTTGCCGAGCCAAGCGTAGCCCATAGGTTCGAGGTTGGGGTCGTCGATGAGGCCGGCCAGGACGAGATCGTCGGCATTCTTGTCGAAGAACGCCATGCGAGCCAGGCCCTCATGATTGACCTTTTTATTCTCCCAGGCCTTGTTGGAGCCGTAGCCCAACTCACGTTGTTCGCGGGAACGACCTTGATTGGGAAGATAAGCGCATGCCACGCAGTCCTGAATAGTGAGCCGCCTTCTCGTCCAGCCGCCCTTGATAGCGTGGATCGCGTAGGTGTCGTCCTGGTCGAACTTGTCCACCATCGACGTGTAGCCGTGCTTCATGATGCCTTTGAGATTTTGGCGTGCCAACATGATAGCTCGGCCATCTACGCTCTGCTGTCCCCTCAAATCATGCGTTCCAGCGGCCTGGCGAATCTTCGCGGCATCCATCTCCCAAAGGCCCTTTCCAAACTGCTCTGCCAGGGCGTCCAAGACATGGGAGCGCTCACGCGCCATCCACATTCTGAAGGCACTCTGGGTGGCCCCACGGGTGACGTAGTAGCCGCAGTGGAAACACTTGTGCTGACCTTCGAGACGAAGCTTGCCACAATTGACGCACTGAATCTGCGTGATTTCCCTTTTCCATCCAGGACGCGGCGCTTGGGTTGCCGGTGCCGTAGAGCGGGTAGCCACTCCTTCATCAGGGACCACTTGCAACTGACCTTCAGTCAAACGGTTCCTTCCTGAAGGCGACACCTCGATGACATCGGCGTCGGTGTTGAAGCGAACGTGTAGAGGTGGAAGTTCAGGAACGGTGCTCTCGACCTCCTCAAGGATGGGAACGTCGAACTCCTCCTTGACCAATGGGGCTTCTTCATGCTCGACACCAGGCTCCTCCTGCACTTCTTGGAAAGGTCCCACGGCTTCAACGACCATGCTTCCGGAAGATTCGGCCTCCTCTACATGAGGGGCATTCTCTTCCTCCTCCTGTCCCTCAGGTCCATCCGCGGCAGACCACAAGATTTCATCGGTCCTTGTGTCGCGGATGTAGAGAACCGTCGATCCAGAGATCGCTTCTCTGCAGAGGACGCCCTCGGACCGTGAGTAGAACAGTCCAGCGCCTTGCCTGAGGGCATCCATGGTGTTGACGACCACCTCCACGGGGCGATCGCTTCTCACGCCAGGGACATTTTCTCCCGGCCCTACCTCCCGGTCGGCAAAATACACAAAGGCATTCGCGGTGTGGTGCCCGGGGATAAAGCAGGAGTCCAAGATGGCAAAGGCTCGATCCTTGTAGGTGCGGTGGTAGAGCCTGCGTGGAATCTTCTCCAGGGGCAAAACCGGCCGACCTTCCCAGGTGGCAGAATGCTCATCCATCTCTGCTTCTGGGATCATGCTGAACCAGGCCTCCGCAAGGATCGAGTCGGGCACCCCTTTCATAGCATCTTTGGAGATGCCTTGGTTCGCCCTAATAAGGGTAGGGTAGCCTCCTAGGCCGTAGTACTCGGCGAGGGGGTGGTTGCGGTCAATTCGCAGCTGGAACCTGCTGCGGTTGTCGTTCTTGACGACAGTGAGGAGCATCCCGAGGCCATAATCCTTGTTCGTCTTCTTGTTCCAGGCCTCGAGGATCTTCCTTGTAGAGCACCACAATCCATCGCCCTGCAGACCTGGGACGACCTTGCCGCGGACAATACCGGACAAGGCAGTCTTGTGATGCTGGGGAATGTGGATATACTCCTGAAGGATGTCACTCCACTCGGCCTCACCTTCCGGTGGGCATAAATGGATTGTGTCCCAGTAGAGGCCCAGCATGTCGACGAGGCACCAATCGTCATCGGTTGAGTAGTAGCCGGACTTGATGGGCTCGTCGTAGGCAGCCTCGTGTGGGCCCTTCTTTGCCCGCTTGGGGGCACTGGACTCAGGGTCGGTCCGCTGACGACTGTAGACCTCCCCCCTGGCCAAAAGCTTCTCCTTAGTCTCCCGCGCCGTTGACGACGATGACGGAACAACGACGGCCTCCCCTGGACGGGGGGCATTTTCCTCGCTCTTCTTGATCATCTCGTCGTAGTCCTCGCGGGTAACATATTCCCCATCTCCCAGGTGAACGTGGTCCTTGAAGTCCCGGTGGACAAAGTGGTTCGGCGCGGTGTCGGGGAACTGCTCCTGGGGTCCTTGGAAGTAGATGTCGTCCCACGGGTCAGCCTCGACAAGCGGCTGATGTGTGGGCTCTACTCTTCCTCTACGGAAGTGGTTCAGGAGCTTCTCCTCCACCTGCACGTCCACAGCGAACTTGACGTTGGGCTTTGAGACGTGGCCGTAGTTCTGCAGGACCAGGTCGATGTCGGCTTCCTTGAAGAAGGAGCATTGGTGACGAAGGACCATAATCCTGGCGGTAAAACCCAACCACCTCAACAGCTGCAAACGATAGGCGCTGTCCTCCTGGAAGTGAAAGTGGTCGAATTTGCGGATCTGGCTCGCAGGCGTATTGAAATGCTTGACGGCCAGCCCAAGTTGGGCGGCGTAGTCGAGCAAATCCGCCATGATGGTACCCCAATCGCGCGGGAGGTAGTAGTTGGCAGCGTCGGTCGCAGACGTGAGCAGCACAGTACCCACTGACGCCCTTGACTGTAGATCCGCCAACTTGCCTATCTCCCGGAGAACCTTTGGTCCAATGAACTCCCAGCTCCCCTTTGCCATGTGCGGGTAACCACGAAGCCACTCCGTCTTGCTCTTGAAGCCTGGGTCCAAAAACAGACCTCTGTCGCCGACGAACTCGTTCCCGTTCCAGATCATCATGAGGTCAATGCTCACCTGACCACTGGCGCCAGTTTCACGCTCCAGTTGGGTGATTTTTCCCACGGCGAGCTCTACGAGCCGCGTGAGATTCGCACCCCATGTAGGAATGTACTCAACGCCAAGATGATGTGGGAACGCATTGCCGCGGTTGGCCTTGATGTCTGCCAGCAGATCTGTCTTCCAATTTCCTTCAGTGAGGAACGTAGTTGTAGAGTCTGCGACGATGACAAGGTAGCGCAAACGGCCTCGAGTAGACTCGGGCTGGAGCATGGCCAAGCCTTGATCGGTGAGCCTTCCAATTTTGGCCACCAAACCAGCCTCCCTGACGTCACTGAGGGCATATTCGCATGCCAGTGGCCGCGGCAAATACTTGTAGAAGTTGTTCACGCTGGCTTCATCCTCCTGGAAAGGCGCCATGGTGCGGTATTCGGAAGACAATGAAGTCTCCCATAACCGCCGATCCCACCACTGGCGCAGGACCTCCGTCGGTGCAACGATTCCAGCGTTGGTGGCTTCCATGTCCGGCGCGCAGAAATCTGCCGCGAGAATGCAGCAGGCAGCTAATGCGTTAGTTTGTTCAGTTTTGTGAGTGCAGGCGTGTTTGTGGTTACACGAAAAATGTTGTTGTGCACATGCCGCATAATTAGAACGCCTATCGCAAAAGCTTTTCCAATCAATGTGGATGCAATCAGTCATGGCATGTGAATAGTTCTCACTGTCCTTAAGGTCCTGGCCTCTAGACTCGCCATGAACATGACTGCGATCACACTTGTGCGCTGCCAGCCGCTGCAATGGAATGGACGACGCAATGGTCCAAGCTTTCCTTAGTGGTAATCCTTGGTGATTCGTAATCCCCAACATGCAACCATCGCAACGGTAGAACTCAAGTCCAAGGTCATTAACCATATGCTGAACATGGTCCCACTTCCAATAGTCACAATCCTTAGGGAGTTCGAAGGCAACCTGTGGTTTGTACTCTTTGAGCTTTCTAATGAATTTTCGGAACTGCTTGAGGAGTTTGCAAAACAGTTCCTGATGCTGTTCCCACTTTGGGCTGTCAGGCGTCATGCGATTCCACGGACAGCCACCAGTACACGGAAGCGACGCATAAACTAAAATTGGCTTAGATGCTCCCCCCTCGTCGCAGAGGGTACTAATTTTCTGAACAA